CCGGATCGTTTCCCTTGTGGTCACATCGAGGGAATGAGGCTGAGGGGGGGTAGAGCACAGACATGAGCTGGCCTCATCTGGCATGACAGAGACATAGCTGAAGGAGTCACTCTGGTGTCTCTCCCAGGATATTTGGCTTTGAGATGTGGGTTTGAGTTGGGGAAGTTTGTTTTTATAGCCCTTGGAACTAGGCCTTGGAACTATAAGGTGGAAGTAGGCATCCCTAAGCAACTTACTGTAGGAAGATGTTTAATTTGCATGTGCTGAGGGTTGGGATGACCTTCTACCTTGGATATGAGAGTTGTGTAAGTTTCAGTAACAGAGCATCACTTCCAAGTAGACCCATGGGACCAGCCCCTGTCATAATTCTTAAGCCATCTTTTCCTAGATATTATTTCCTTGATTCTTGGAAAGCTGGATAGTTCCTTAGATTTTTGTACAACTTACGTGGCTTTCGGTTAAAACTAGGCAAGCTAAGGCCCCAAACATCTTTAATTTGCTTATGTAAGCCCACAGGACCTCATATCATGTTGGTACTAGGATAAAGTGTTTGTTAATCTCATAAAATATTGGTGAGATTTCCCTGTATTACAGTGTGTGTATATGTGTGTACATGCATGTGATATATGTAACCTGAGTGGTGGCCAGGATATCTGCTGAAGATTACAGCAATTTTCAGGGTTGGGTTAGGTTGATATATAGTTGACTTTCAGTCCTGGCTTCATATTGGCATTATATGACCCATGGCAAATTATTTAACATTTCTGTCACTTGTGTTGTCATCTGTAGAAGAGGTTGATGATAATAATACCTTCTTGAGACATTTTGAAGATGAAATGAGGAAGTAGACGTAAAGTGCTTCAACTGGTGCTTGGCACACAGTAAACATTCAATACGTGAGAGCGATTATTATTATCAAGGCACTTTACGTGATCTCGGGCATGCTTAGTGGAGAAGACACAGTGGCCTGTAGAGATCCTGGTAGGGGTCTGGTGTTGAGAATATGCACCAGCTCTCACCATTCTCTTACTTCCTCACCTCTTCAGAGGAGCTTGGAGATGCAATAGCCAGATCACGGTGACTTGGACATCCGTTGGACAAGAATAGGCCCTGGGGGATGAACCCAAGATGTGGATGGGAGCTTGGCAAGGCCACAAGTAGATTTCAGGAGAGTTCAGGTGCGGATGGGTCAACATGGGTCAGCATGGGGACAGTCAGGCTGCCAGTGCCATGCTGCCACTGTGGGGCTGGGTTTCTCAGTGGAAACTGACGGGAGAAGGCAGACTGGTGGGTGAGGGGAAACTGTGTGGCTCAAGTCTCCGACAAAGGGCTGGTTTCTGTACTCTATAAAGAACTCTGCAAGCCAATGAAAAAAAGCCCCAAACCCTATAAAAAGTAGGCAAAGGATATGGACAGTTTGCAGACACTAAAAGAGAAATGGCTTTTAAGGACATGGAAAAGCTACTCAGCCCCACCCATAGGAAGAAAAATGCAAATTACAACAACAGTGAAATTTCATTTTTCACCTGTCAGATTGGCAAACTGAAAAGAGTTTGATAATACTGAGAAATGGCTTTCTGCCAATTGGTACAACTTCCAGAGAAAGAAATTTGTTAATATCTGTCAAAATGTAAATGCAAATGCCTTTGACCTAGCAGCTCTACTTGTGGCCATGCATCCCACATACATATTGTCAAATGTGTGAAACGATCCATGTAAAGGATTATTAATTGAGGCATTGTTTGTAGTAGCAAAGTTTCAGAACATTCTGAGAGTCCACTAATAGGATTGGTTAAATAAATAATGAGGCATCAATTTAATGAAATACTAACAGCTGTCAACAAGAATGAGGGAGTTGTTTATAGATATGAACTCCAAGGTTTCCTGTTTAATGAAAAAGAGCAATGTGCAGAAAAACACGTCTAGTGGGCTACTATTTGCTTAAAAAAGAAAAAAAATTACTATATATATACTTGCTATCATATATATATATACATATATATATGTATATGCATATGCCTAAAATAGGTAATAATTTGCTTAGTGAGTAGGGAATTGGGAATTGGGGGCTTGGGGATGAGGGAGGGAGAAACTTTCCACTTTGTATTATTGATAGTGTTTGAATTTGAATCATATTAGTTCATTACCTATTCAATCTTTTTTAAAAATAGCAATATTGCATCTTGCTCCCTAATACAGCCATTGGATTTAATGTGAAAAATGTTATAAAATATTGATTAATGCAATTACTTAATCCCCCACCACCTTACTCCTCCTGTTCCATTTGACACTCACTAATATTTGAACAGGTTTGATGTCCCAGGAAAATGCTACAGGTTTATCCCATAGCTCCCCTCATCCCCTGCATCCATACTCAACTATTGCTGGACGTGCCCCCTCCCCAGGGAGAAGAGGTTGTGGCGGCACGAGCACAGCTTTGCGAAAGACAAAGCTGGATTTGAATCCTGCCTGTGTTATTCACTGGCTATGTTAACTTGGTTGAGTTGCTTTACTTCTCTAAACCTCAGTTTCTGACCTGTAAGTAAAGTAAAAAAAAAAAATTAAGAAAAAAAGGCGTGTTTACTGTTGCATCCGAAATCGATCGTGGCTATAGGATTTCAAGTATTTAAGGATCAAATTCATTAATAACAACAACTTTATTGTGGCCCGCCGCACCCATATCCCAATTGGCCTTTGCCAGAGTCATGGTGGAGCTGGCCAAACTCGGCGCTGCCCCTGGTTTCACTAACGCACTCCATAATGACCTGGGACCACTGCTATCCTGCTGGAGTTGGTCTCTGTCCTTCCCAGCTCAGCCGGTTCCCCCTCTAAGGTACCGTCGCCACCTTGGCCCTAAGAGTTCCTCTTTTGTGTCCAAAGTCTCTGGCTGCTTTTGGACAGACTTGGTTATTTTCTCATGGTTGAGAGAAAGTTCCTAAAGTTCCTTTAGTATTGGGGTATGGGGGCCAGTGTGTGATGTCCGCAGCACCAGGGACCTGGTGACAACCACACTTCTCTTGTGGGGATTTGTGCCTGGTGCATAGGCGTAGGCATTTCAGGGGGGTGAATTTCAGACCCCTATGTGAACTTTTCATCTGCGTACGTACCTGTGTCTTGCCAACTGTTTATTTAAGCAACTACTGAGCCCTGTTAGTAAGTGATATCAAAAACTCTGAGGTGGTTGTTTTATAGTCAGTCTAAGCAATGGTAGAAGGTTCAGGTTTACATGTGCTCATATACTTGAATGGGGAGGAAAATTCATATAGGGTCAATAGCTTAGTTGCTATGGTGAGATAGAATGCTTTTTGAGAAAGTTTCTCTTTAAAGTCGAAGCTTAATCACGTTTAAGGCGGAGGAAAAACAGGAGAAAAAAAAAACCAGACTGTGGTAGGCTAGATTTCCCCCAGATATTATTGCTGCTTCTGTCTCTACAGCCGAACATAACAGCTGGTGAGTAGAGAGAAACTGGAGAAAGATCTTTTTTGCCTTTAATCCAGTATGCTGTTTTCCTGTGCCCGTTTTACTGTAATTCTCAGCGGCTGCAGGACAAAAGCTGTTGACTGATACATGCAATTACCTCCTCTAATATTGCTCTCAACTGTCGGCCCTGACTGACAAAAGTGGATGAGGTTTAGTTAAGGTCTGGGAAAACACTCTTTTAATAAAAGCCATTCCCATCTCTATGATCACCTCCCTCCCTCAGACCTTTTCATCTGTTTTCTGGAAAGATAAGGCCTGGTGATGGAAAGTTAAAAAGTGGTGCTGAACTTGGATGATCACGACACCACCATTTACCTCATAAAAACTCTCACAGTGTGTGTCTCTGTGTGTGCCTGTGTGTGTGTGTGTGTGTGTGTGTGCAATTTGCATTTGAAATAAGGAAAATCAGTTTGGGTCTCTGGGCAAGTCTTTTCCCAAAAAGAATAGGAGGTGAATTTAGGAAATTACACCACATCCTTTTTGGGCTCAGACCTCTTTTGGTTTTTGTAGGCAAAAGTAAGCCCTGAGGAGGTACTTTCCTCAGGGTCCTTTGGCGGATTGCTGGACTTGGATGCTCTACTTCCTAATGGAGGATGTGCACAGCAAAACCGTGTTTAATGAACTGTAGGTGGAAACCTTCTCCTTCCCGCTGATGCAATGCTGTACGTTGAATGCTCACAGAGCACCACAATCCGAAGGAGTCAAGGCCCTCCCAAGGAGCCCTGGGCAACCCCAAGGAGGAAGAGGGGCAAATCTAGGGAGAGGGTTCCCCCGCCCATTCTCGGCTTAGAAGAATTTATAGTTCACACAGGAGGAGTGTGAGACACAAAAGTGAGGATGACACCCTATTTACAGGTGTGGTCTGGGAGACTGAAGTGGAAAGTACGGGAAGACGTCCTTATACAAAGCGAACACTGTGTGGATTGGGCTGTGTCCCTGTGTTTTGAAAGGCCTGCTGGTTGTTCTGAATGCAAACTGCTGGCCATGGTGCAGGCATAGGGGGTTCTTTAGGAGGCAGCACTTGGCACAAAGTCCTCACTGATCCCTTTGATTGGTGAGAGCAGAGCAGACGGAGGGGGTTGGGGCTGAGGAGGCTGCAGTTTGTTCCCATGCCCAGAAGGGACCTAACTTCGGTCCGAAGGAAGTCTGCTCCCTTATCAACAGAATGAGGTAGCTTTGTCCTATCAGTTTTCCCCTGTGTTGGCACTCAATTTTCATAATACAGTTTGTAATGTGATAAGGTCTACACATTATTAATAGTAGCAATAGTATGGCAAGATTATTCCTATGCAGTTTTGGTAAAGAACAAAGGGCCGGGCTGCCGATGAAGTATAATTACCTAGGATTTTAGAACCAGGGCACAACATGTTCCTCTTTTTCAAGTATCTGCAGACTGTTTACTAAAAAAATGCTTCTCTTGGAGAGAAACCCACTTTCTACCTCCACCCCACCCCACCCCACCCCACCCACATTGATATGGAGACTATACATCAAGTTAACACCTTGGTTGCTTTCTGTAGGGGTTGCAGAGAGTGTCAGCTGGGGTCAGATGAGAACAGCAGTCTGACTCAACAGACATTTATTGTACTCCTGCTGTATGCCAAGAAATGCACCGAAATCTGGAAGTGTGTAACACAGGAGAAGAAAAGGCTTATCGCCAAGGAGCCCTCACCTGGAAAGAGAGATGGCATCTCAGCCTAAGGTGGTGAAATGTTGACATGCTACCAGGAGGTGAGTCCATGGACAGAGAGCAGGAGATAGTTAAACTCAGCTAGGTCAAGAATGGCTTTCTGGAAGAAAGGGATGCTGGAGCTTTGTAACTAAGTGGCTACTTCCTTGGCATGCTTTACAGGCACTCAAAGGCCACTGCTCTATGTCCAAGGGACAACAAAATATTAAAGGGGCAGCAGGGTCTCCCTTAGGGCAGTAACATCCCAGTAATGCAGACAGGCATATAACCAAACAATGGCATTATGGTGTGATTCCACAGGGCAGCAATATGGCACCACAGGGGCACAGATGACGAAGGGGGTGATCTGCTTCAACTTTCATGATAACGAGGGGCTCACCTGTCACCTGTTTGTGCTAATAGTGATTGCACTGTGCTTTTCCCATGCCAAGCCTGGCTCTAAGTACTCTGGATATAGCAACATGTGTCATGTTCACACAACACTAAATGAGGACACGAAGGCAGAGAGAAGTTCCTGGATGCACAGTTAGGGCCAGGACTTAAACATGGGTTGCCTGGCTCCTGAGTCCACACTTGTCACCATTCACTACTCGCCCTCCAATAGGGAGCAAGCTTCATTCTGGCCTTTCCTTAGGGGGAAGCAATTGAGCCCACTGTCTCATCTGGCTTCTGGGGAGAAGGCTGAGGAAACTTCTAGGCAAGGAATATTGAAGGAATTTTTCAGTTGTGGAATCCTGCCCCCAACCCCCTCCCTGCCACACAGAATCACATGTGCATTCACACCTACACAACACACATACACCCTCTTTCTCTCCCTTGGGCCCCAATTCTGCCTTTGCATAAAAATCACCCAAATTTTGGGGCGCCTGGGTGGCACAGTCGGTTAAGCGTCCGACTTCAGCCAGGTCACGATCTCGCGGTCCGGGAGTTCGAGCCCCGCGTCAGGCTCTGGGCTGATGGCTCAGAGCCTGGAGCCTGTTTCTGATTCTGTGTCTCCCTCTCTCTCTGCCCCTCCCCCGTTCATGCTCTGTCTCTCTCTGTCCCAAAAATAAATAAATGTTGAAAAAAAATTAAAAAAAAAATCACCCAAATTTTAAATAAAATACCGATGCCAAGGCCCTTTCCTGGATATACTAAATAATCGTATCTGGGAATAGACCTTGAGGATCTGTTTTTTCCATTTTTAAGAAAATTAAATGACATGCATGCCCAAAGTAAAAATTCACAGTACAGAAAAGAAAGTGTCTGCCCCTTCCATCCAGCTTTCAGTCCTTCCTTCCACAGACAAACACTTCCAACAGTGACTTGTGATCTGTTTCCTTCTAGAAAGCAATGATCTCACATGCCCATCTGTTATTTTCCTCTCTCTCTCTCTCTTTCTTTTTGGCTGGGTATTTATTAATGGCACATGACAAGGCAGGTCTCCCCAAGCCCCTCCCCTTTATCAAGGGGTCTGGGATGGAAACCATATAGAGGTCAGGATATTCTCAGTGTGTTGGGGGATGAGTTGGGGCAAGGACACCCCAGCAGCTGAGGGCTTCTTTTTCCTCTTACTCTTGCTGGGACTGGTGATCCAGGGGGCTCTTACTCTTTGGAGGCCATCTGGACCACAAAATCTACCACCCAGTTGCCTTAGCCAAATTCATTATTATACCAGGAAATGAACTTGACAAAGTGGCCATTGAGGGCAATGCAGCCCCGGCATCAAAGGTGGAAGAGTGGGTGTCACTGTTGAACTTGCAAGAGACAACCTGGCCAGTGTAGCCCAGGATGCCCTTGAGGGAGCCCTCCGATGCCTGCTCCACCATCTCTTGATGTCATTGTATTTGGCATCTTTCTCCAGGTGGCAGGTCCGATCCACAACTGACATGTTGAGGGTGGAGGCATGGAAAGCCATGTCAGTGAGCTTCCCATTCAGCTCAAGGATGATCTTGCCCACAGCCATGGCGGTGCCAGTAGAAGCAGGGATGCCGTGCTGGGCCCCTCCTCAGTCATCACACCACAGCTTCCCAGAGGGGCCATTGACAGTCTTCTGGGTGGCACTGATGGCATGGACTGTGGTCATGAGTCCCTCCACGGTGCCAGAGTTGCCATGGATGAACATGGCCTGAGGGTCCAAGCAGTTGGTGGTACGGGAGACATTGCTGACAATCTTGAGAGAGTTGTCATACTTCTCATGGCTCATGCCCATCACAAGCATGAGGGCATCAGCAGGATGGGCAGAGATGATGACCCTCTTAGCTCTACCTTTCAAGTGAGCTCCAGCTTCCTCCATGGTAGTGAAGACACCAGCAGACTCCACAACATATGCAGCACCAGCATCACCCCATGATGTTGTCGGGAACTTTCTCCTAGAAGACGGAGATGGGCTTTCTGTTGATGACGGGTTCCACATTCTCAGCCTTGACTGTGCCATTGAATTTGTCATGGGTGAAATCATACTGGAACACATAGACCATGTAGTTGAGGTCAACGAAAAAGTCATTTGTGATGACAATATTTACTTTGCCAGATTTAAAAGCAGCCCTGGTAACAAGGTACCCAATAAGGTCAAATCTGTTCACTCTGACCTCCACCATCATGTCTTGAGGATGCAGCCGGCACTGCACAAGAAGATGCTGCAGTCTATTGAATGGGGAGGTGCAGAGAGCCCCTGTCTGTTATTTTTTAACCTCTGTAGATGATTCTGATGAATAGTCGGGTGAGAATCTCTGACCTGTGCCCTGCTCTGTCCACCTCAAAGATGTTTCATCTGTGGGAAAGGAGGGCAGGAAGAAGGAGGCTTAAGAAGTGGGGACTTTTTGAGTAGATGAAGTAGAAGGAGAGCCAAAAGGGCAAAGCTCAGAGAGAGCCTACTCAATGTAGCACATTGCTTCAGAGTGAAAGAGGTGAGAATTCCTGTAACACACATTGAGTGCTAACTGCTGAGAGAGGCACAGTGGCGAGACACAGTCAGAAGTGAGTGGGGATCAATAAGGAAATGCCTTCCAGAGGAGACTTGAGAAGTCTCAAAAATGAAAGGAAAGGGTATTTGGTGTGGAAAGAATGGCATGGGATGTGAATGCTCATTCGCTCATGTATTCCGGGTATTTTTTCCTTCAGTCCTTTGGGATGCGGTAGGTGTAATTGCAAGAATATGCACTGTGGTTTCAGGCTGCCCTGGATCACAGGGGTTGAAAATATAGTAGGTATGGTGACGGTCATACAGGAGGCACTGGGAGTGAAACATGAAGTAGATATATCCTTATGTTCAGTCTCCGGGGAGACAGACATCTAGAAACCCACTAGTGTGATAAATGTTTTCCTAATGGTGGGTAAGTAAGGTATGTGAAGGGTGGAATAGGACTAGTAACACTTGGTAATTTTTTTTTTACTCTTGGGATTTTTTTTTTTTTTAAGAACTTAAACAGGACCTTCTTGGTCAGAGTCTTGAAATAGATCATCTTTTTGGTTCTCAGATTCTGGAAGGGGTCAAAACTGACCTGTCACAGACAAATTTGGGGACATATAAGGTTTGGTGGACTTGAGCAAGCACTTGGTTATAGTTTTGTGGTCTGTTTGCTTTCCAGAGTCTCCATGAGTCATGGGAAGACACAAGTGGTGTGCCTGCATACCTGTTTGATAGCCCTTCCTCTTCTAAACGCAGGCCAAGTCTGAGTTAGAAATCAAAGGCTTAACTGAGTTTTATTATTTCCAAGACTTTTACAATTTCTTTTCTAACTTCCTAATGATACATTTTCATTTTCTGAAGACAATCTGGAAAGGATCATTAAGGATGCAATTTTTTTTTTTAATGGATCAGAAGGAAATTTTCATGTTGTACCCCAGACTAGCCCAGATTAGGTTCCAGGATTTTTTCTGAATAGGATAGGACTGTCATAGGAGGGACTGTGAATCTTTTTTTTTTTTTTTTCTTTTTAAGCTGGAAGGACTTTTAACAGTCAGATCTTTTCCTTTTTAAATTCCTATCTCATGCCAATATGGTTGTCTATGCTTTGTCTTTGCAGCAGCACCATAAGGAAAGTAGGGCCCTTGCCATCATTTTACAGATGAGGGAAATGAAGACATCAAAATATTCAAGACTTTACCCAAGATCTTTTTGTTCTGATAAGTGGCCAGGCTGGTATTTGAACTTGGGTAACTCCACAGGAAAGTCCAGCTTTTCATTTTGCCAATGAGCCAACTGAAGTCCCAAGATGGCTCACTTCATTGGTTGCAGATCTTGGAGCTCAGGGCTTCCGATTTTGTGTGTTTTGTATGACACGAGGGTCACCCCTGAGGAGCGACCTGTATCTTGGGTCTCTTTCTTCCCAATGCATCTCATATACAGTCACCCTACAGCCTGCTCCCCCCTCCCCTACCCCCACAAATCCATGCTTGTGGCTTCCCTGAAACTGCAGATGATGGTCCCAGCCTCTGTCTATCTTGACCTCTAATATCTCTGGCATTGACCCCACCATCCAGCCAAACCAGAGACCCTACATTCCCCTACAAGAACTCTAGAGACATACTTTCCTGTCTCTGTCTTTATTCACCATTTCCCACTTTCTGGTATGCCCTCTTCTTGTCAGATCCACAGATCCCAAGGCTACTTGTCTTTTAGACCCATCATCCAAGTCACCTCCTCTATGAAGCTTGTGAGGTCCTACAGTTATATAGGATCTGTCACTGTTGCTGAAGGATAAGGGACAGGTTGGAGAGGAGAGGGAGGGGAGAAAATTGTTGGAACTCAAAAGACAGTAGATATGAAGCTTGGAGGTGGATGCAATGATGGATGACCCCAAGGCTAATCAACAGCCACGGGAGTTGTGGATTGTTGAGTGCTTGCCATGTCTTGGAGCAGTTAAATGCTGTCATCTCCTTCAATTCACAGCAAGTCATTGGGTTGCTGCAGCTGGGAGGCAAGTCTAGCTCTGGGTGAAGTCACAGCTTGTGCTCTTTCTTGTTATCATGTTGTTTCTGGACAGCTGGTTGTGGGGCAGGAGAAGAACAGAGCAATCTCCGAGATGGAGGAGTAAAGGGATGAAACAAAATTGAGGTC